AAATTAAACAAGATTTGCCTGAGCATTACATCCAAATTCCTTACCAAATTTGAAATAAAAATAAAATACGGAGAACAAATAGTAAAATAGTAAAAAATACTACTAATAAAAATAAATAAAAATAAAAAGAGAATTAAATTTAGTGAGTGCGCAAGCACATTTTCAACACTGCCATCTTTGGCGATTTTTCTTCTTTTTTTTGGCATAGCTAAATGCACTGAAAATTTACAGATGTGTACTTGACATAATAAAAAACCCACTAAAAAAGTTTCAAAAAATAATAAAATTCTTTAGACCCCGAACTAAAGTGAAAACAAAATGTAAAAAGTGAAAAAAAACGTGGGCGAGCAGTGGAGCACGTTTTGACACCGCCATCTTTGGCAATTTTTAATTCTTATTTGGCTGAGCCAAATGATGTCAAAATTTATAGGCATGTACCTCACGTCATGGAGAACTCACAAATAAACATTTAGAAAAATATATATATATATTTTTTTCTAGGCCCTGAAATAATTTTTGGCGGGGGCCGAATGCCGTCGGGTTCGGACCCCGTACAGGACCCTTGTCACATAACTATGAAGTAGTATGAACTAACAGAGCGCACTTTGCGAAACAAATGGCAAAAATTAAAAATTAAAAAAAAAACAAGACAAACATGAAGGGCGCAGTGAAACCATTCATTTTTCTCATTCTTCTTTTGACTCCCCTTTCACCGTGCCTCTCACGTACAAGGCTCGCCACGTTGATGAAGTTGAGCGCGAGCTGCCCCCATCCCCGTGTGCCATAACAGCCCACTTGTACGCTGTGAGAAAGAGGCAGAGTGAAGGGGGAGGGGAATCGTACAGGGAGGAGAGATGGAGAGCAGACAAACAAAGCACGACAAAGAGAAAGTAAGGGAAAGTACAAAGTGTGGAATGAAGATGAAGGCAAAGGAGAGGATAAGAAAAGGCTCAAGAATGAGTCTGTCCTTGACGACAGAGAGGGCATGCATTGTAAGGATGAGGTGGATGAACACATGGAAGACCTAGTTGAGCATTCTCAGTGCAACAATTGCCACGACGCGTGGCATTGAGCATGCCCACCATACACCCCCGACAAATGGCATGTCGATTGCAGGCCAAACAGAGCTGCCCGGTATACCGTAGGCAGAGAGGGAGAAGAGGACAACAAACGAGGGGCTGTGACAAACTGTTTCGTATAATTTTTTTATTTTTTTTTTGACCCGTCCGGGCAAGTGGTCCCGGGCCACTCTCATAGCCTAGAGTCTGTGAGCATATTTGTGGGGCTGACCCACCATAGCTGCACCATCTATAACTTGTGTTGTGTGGTGTGCGGTATGGGACAACTGTAACTCCAAAATTGCATTGAGCTATGTGGCGATTCCCCAAGAGGAAGGATGACTCAATTTTCATGTGTTTGGTGTGACCACCAAATCTGCACGCTCACACGGAATGCATGATGCATGAGTGAGGGTCTCCTTGCAATTTGTCAGTCCGACACACGTACTGACAGAAAGATCTCTGACATCTGATGGCCGGTACAACAAACGATCTGACAAACTGTCCGATCCATATACTGTCAGACTGTCTGACGTGGTCACACACCGTGACAAAAAGAGAGTAAGATGAACTCCGGCAAATCCTCTCCCGGAGTTAGTTTCTGCAGTCGAATTCGAGTGACCATGTGCAACGAACCCAGCCACACACACATGCACCCACACACACACGCACACACGCGCACACATGCGCACATGCACACACCCATGCCACGTGCGCACGCACGCGCACATGCACACACGCACACAAGCTGCGAGAAAAACTGAATTGTGGCATGCCACATGCACACATGCACACGCACGCATCCAACCTCCTGATGCTTCGGTGAAAGTCCGACGAAACACTCTGGCACAATCATGCTTCTTTTCTGGAGTTGTCTGTAGCAACACGACAAACATGTGCACACGGAGACACACACACACACACACACACACACACACACACACACACACACACACACACACAAACTGTGACAAACAAAACAAACAAACAAACAGACAAACAAAACACATCGACACGAGCAAACAGTGTGCCTTCCTTTCGCTCGTGCCCAGGTTAATAAGGGCCTCGCCGCACTGCTCACCAAATGCACGAAAGACAAAAATTATGCCTGTGTATCTCTCCATGTTTTTGCGGATTTTCATTTTTCACCTTTGGTGAGTCGTGCTGCGAGGCCCTAACTCTCACCCTGCCAAAACATTCGCGGCGAACAAAGAGCTGATGACATCAGATGAGCATGTTAAGTGGGGTAGAGGTCAGAAGACAGACGAGCAATGCGTGCAATGTCTGATGAACAAGATACAGGCAAGGGCCTGTTTTTTTTTTTTTTTGGGGGGGGGGGGTGAAAAAAAGATATGCACGAAAGTCGACTGATGCTCCCCAGAATGGAAATGGAACCAGGACCATATGGGCCTGTTTTAGGTATTAAAAAAAAAAAAAAAAAAAACGAAAAGAAACACGCACAGATATGCACAAACTCTGACACCTGCCTGCTGCTGGAAGGTGAAATGAAGAGAGTGACATAAGCTCCGAATGGAAGCCACAGTAAACTACGTTACGGTGGCAGTAAAAAACGACCTTCTTCCCCGAATACAACGTACAGTCATTATAGCTGTATGTATTTAGGGTATATTTCAGTCTAATTACAGCAATAAGCAGATGCCCGCCACACAAGCGGCGGGGAGCATGAGGGGGGAAGCGGAAGCAGGGCCCCAGCAAAGAAGTGCGCAGCCAGTCTCAGCAGCAGCCGACGGGTGCTTTCCAGGGCAAAGGGGAAAGCAGGAAGAGAAGCACGGGAAGGTATTTGACCCCCCCAAAAAAAAGAAAAGGGGAAGGTACCTGCCCAAAATCCCAGCTAAGATCCGCTTTGTTTTTTTTTTCCCTGGGAGAGATGTGAAATGGGGCATGCTATGCACTTGGATTTTCGAACACGTGACTAAGGGCATCGCCACACCACTCGAGAACTGTGCAAAATGAGAATGAACTTCCCGCTAGAATATGGCTAGATGCACCCACCACACTTGTTTTTTTTCACATTTTGAAAGTGGTGTGGCTAGGCTGCAACCCTAACGCATGAACTTCCACATCATGCATTCTATGCTCTTTTCCAGGCACGACGTGGAAGGACTTCTGGCCTATCAGGACGCAGTGAGGGACACAGGCCACGTCGTACAGTTGGGCGCGCATAACTGTTCCCGTCCGAGGCGGATACCTGAATTGAGCCCGGGTGCAGACACATTGCCCAACGTGAAGCTACTGGGCACACGGTCGCAAGGCCCAGGCAGCCCTCATAGGCAAGCACTTCCGATATAGGA